AAATGAATATTAAACAAAAAAACAAAAACTTAAAAACAAGCTACTAACAATAACAGCAATGTGTCTTTTATTTTCCTTGTAACATCGCATTGGGAAAAGATCAGAACAAATGCAAGGGGCATGAAAAGAGTAATAAAGACTATAAAACAAAGGTTAAGAGTTCCCATTATGGACTGCCCCTGGTGGTACAATGGATAAGAACCTGCCAATGCAGGGACACAGGTTCAATCCCTGGTCCGGGAAGATCCCGCATGCCAGAGAGCAATGAAGCCCACAGCACACCACTGAAGAGCCACCACCACGTGCCCGCTTGGCATTCTTCCACCTTCTCCCACCACAGGAGGGAGGAAGCAGGCTTCGGACAGCACTCGGGCCCAGGCAGCCTGGAATGCAGGCCCTCACCCCAGGTGCCAACCCCTCCAGCTCCAGCTCCGACCGCAGCTAGGCCCCTCGAGCTCACCTGCCCATCCCTGAGCCCTGCTGTGTGTGGCCTCCCACGCTTCTGGACCTTCCTGGGCAGAGCACCCCGATCGGCCCTCGCTGGGCCGCGGACTTTAAGGACAGGCCCGAAGGCGACTTCACCTACCGGGACTGCTGGAGAAACACGCCGTGTGTATGCGGGCTCCCCATCCAGCCCAATGCTGATTGCACTCCACAGATCAGCCTTCCCGTCCAGTGCCTCAGGGCCCTCCACCTCACAAACACCCCGAGTGCACACACGCACGCCGACCTCTGCCCAGGGTGCAGGGTGGCAACAGACTGAACGTGGAGAGGCCTCTTCCACGGACACAGGAAAGAACTATGGAGACGGGCCACCAAGAAGGGAAAAAGTCAGAGCGCTGAAGGCATAATTAAGTGCAGCCATCCTTCTATCTGTCTCCAGATTTCCAGCGCACACGGGTTTCCCCAGGGTGAGGCAGAGCGCTGGAGAAATGTCCCAACTCACCCCGAATGGCCATAAAACGTTTCTCGCTCCCCACACAAAAGGCGTTCTCAGCAAAGGTTTCTCCAAGCAGCAAGAGAGATGGAAGGATGATGGTGACAAGTAGAGACTTTTACTTTTTCCAGCTCTTCCTGTAAACAGTCTGTACTTTCAAATATGAGACTAATATGTAGTTGCATGTTAAGTCGCTCCAATCACGGCTCTTTGTGACCCTATGGACTGCAGAAAACCAGGGTCCTCTGTGCATGGGATTCTCCAGGCAAGAATACTGGAGTGGGTGGCCGTGCCCTCCTCCAGGGGACCTCTCCGACCCAGGGGTCGAACCCACCTTTACGTCTCCTGCATTGGCCGTGGGTTCTCTACCACTTGCGCCACCTGGGATGTAGGACATCCTCAACACAGGCTAGAGCTGACTTGGGCCCCACCACACGTGTTACACATCAGCAAAGTATACTTCAGTCAGAGGACAAGTTGGTCGGATGGCATCACCGACTCAATGGACGTGAGCTTGAGCAAACTCCGGGAGATACTGAAGGACAGGGAAGCCTGGTGTACTGCAATCCATGGGGTCACAAAGAGTCGGACATGACTTAGCGACTGAACGACAATACTTCAGTCAGTTGTGAAATCAATTTAGTTTTGCAACGGCTCCTTTCTCCTCTTTAATAAAACACATCACACAACAGCACACCACAAGTAGTGAGGATTAAGACTGTCTTCTGAAACTCTTAGTTTCAGGTCTTGATGTAAAATGTATTTCTTACCTGGGTCACAGTTCAAAAGAGGTTTAAAGTGACTCATAAAATTACATGATAGAAATTTATAAACCAAGATCTAATTCTAACTTACAACTTCTGCAACTAAAAGCTGATCAATGCTGCTGTCTCCAACTGATGCTTGCTCCTCTTTTAATCTGAATTAAACTGAGAGAAGCAACAAATGTTCAATGAAGGACAGCGAGTTATTAAATAAACCACTCAACCTAATTTCTTTATGTCTATTTGTAGTTACTACATTCAGCTTGTGATTTCCATTTTTCCCCTATGCTAATGAAACTGGGATGTGGGAGGTTAAAAAAAAAGGGAAAGTGTCCCCCTCCACAATTCTTATGAAACAGTTATTAAAAAGGATAACGCATTCAGACTTAACAGCCATCCAGCCCTCAAGGAGCACCTGGCACAACAGCCCTCAATAACAGTTGCTGATCGAACCAACAAAATATCAATCTCACATTTTAATTTCTTCTGCAAACCCAAGTTGGGATGAAACAAATGTTACTTTCTGCTAAAGTAATAAAAAGACAGTAATTCAGCAAGGTGAGTAGGAGTATGAGTTCAAAGGCAGGAAAGACCTGATCTCTAGTCACAAATTGCCACATAATGCACCTTCTCACCTTGGGTCAGTTCAATTAGTTTCTGCTGGTTTCCAAATCTAGAAAATATAAATTACACCTGCGCCTCAGGTGGTACCAGTAAGAATCAAGAGGCATAAAAATGATTTGCAAGACAATGAAGAATGATGTTTTTACTGCAATTATTCTTTTAATTCAGTTTTTTTTTTTTTTTTTTTTTTTAAGCATCTTTGCCTAGACTGCCTGAATCCACTGCTGTCTTTCTTGAAATTTGTAAGCCATCTCCACATAAATTCTGGTCAGGAGATGAGAGAGGAAAAAGAGGGGGAGGGGGGATTGGGATTAACAGGACAAGGGCACAGGTGGGTTAGTACTTTCCTCCCGTTTTATCCTGGAGAGCCATCCAAGGCCGGTGTGCCCTTAATTTAATCCTCAACATCAACTCTGAGGAAGGCCTCCCTGGGCAGTAGCAACTGCTGATTCAAAGTAGAAAATAAATGTGCGTGTTGTTTTTCTTTTGGAGTGGAAGGGTGAAGGAAAATATTCTTTCCCAAATGGCACATCAGAAACAATCATCAAACATGGTATGGAGGCACCTAACCACAGGGATGACTGTGTCCAAAGACACCTCGCATCCCTAAAACTGCAGCAGCTGAAAATCTGGTTGTTTCAACCAAATAAAAACTTACCAGCCTTTATACTGAGAAAGCAAAATAAAAACAGCTTCCTTGTAACCCTATGGAGGAAATAGATTTGGGGAGGCAAGACTTTTCTTTTTTGAAGAAATGTATCTTTTTATCCAAGACTTAAGAATTCTGGTCCACACTGTTGAAGCAAAAAATTAAAAGGTGAGGACAAAAAAAAAAAGTGTTGAGACTAGATAACCACCTGGTGACCATCTGATACTGACTTGAGGGCATCAGCCAGAGAGGCTTTAAGTACCTTTTAAAATAGATTCGCTTTCCACAAAGGCTGACTACACCTCCATGGTAGTACTGAGCAAGCCATGTGTACTAGATTACAGCCTGATTAACAGAATAAGCGTATATCTCAAGGAAGTACTGAGCAAATGTGTTTTTTTTTTTTTTAATCATTACAAGAAGTCCTTCTTGCTCTACTGGTCAGAAATACTTTTTTACCCAGTTCACCCTGCTTTCTTGTCTCTAAATTCAAACCAAACCAAAGCAGGAATTTTAGGAAATACCAAGAAACCACATCTGATTTCTACCTAGCGGTCAGCAGTAGCTTAGGTTTTTAAATGCGTGTTGTTTAAAAGCTCTTTACAGGAGGTTCAAGGACAGTTTTCTTTTAAGCACAGTAAAGTTACTAATGTTAACTGCTACTCCACTTAAAAAAAAAAAAAAAAGCTAAAATCCCGGTAACTCCGTGCTCTTTTTCTAGATATCAAACCTGAACAAGGAAGTCGAATTTTTTATTTCAGATTTAGAGAGAGAAATGATCTCTCGAATGAGGGGGCAGATTCCTGGCTCCCATGTGGTCCAAATACTTCTCAGCCCTCAAGAGGGAGGGGAGGAGAAAAAAAACAAAACACGAAACAGCACGTTTAACACTGAAATACAAATAATCCACTCGGATACTTGTGCCTGTTTTTTTAAAGTTCGTACATTCCCTCGCCCGGCTAACCTGGGGGGGGATCAAAACTTTTAAGAGATTCCCTAACCCTTCCGTGAGATTTTTAATCCCAAACATTTGCGACCATTACCCGTTTACACACATTACAAATGAGCCAAGGAAGGTGGTTTTATTTTTCAAAGGGCTAAACGTAGTCCCCGAAGGCGAAAAACTTTCTTTGATGCATCCAGGTAAATGTGAAATTCAACGTCTACTCCCCGCCCCAAGAAAAAAATAATAATATTAAGTCGCTGGAAAAATAATAATATTAAGTCGCTGGGAGGCCAACAGGCCACAAAGTAGCCATGGAGAGTTAGTGGGAACTGACTCTCCGTGGCCGGATCCAATCGAGTCTCCAAGTCCAGCCCAGAGTCCCGGGACCCACGCGGTCCGAGTGAGTGCACGCTGTCCGATCGATTCCTCCCTTCCAGAAGGGGCTTCCAGGCTTCGCACCTTCCCGTCCGTCTGCACCGGGAGGAAGCGCGCGGACCAACGCGCTGAAAGCGGAGCTGGCGCTTACCCCTTCCTCTCCCCGCCCCGACTCCTCCGCCCGCCGGGGCGCGCCCGGGGGCCCCCCTCTCCGGGGTAGGGGAGGGTGGAGAGGGACCAGGGCCTCCACCGCCGCCCACCCCCCGCCCCCAGCTCGCGCCCGGGCCCCGAGAACGAGCCGGGCCTCCAAGGGCATTTCTCCACATCACTTCTTCCCGGGGGATGGGTCGGCGTGGGGCCTGCAGCTCCGGAGGGGGACGCGAGGAGGGCGACGCGGCCAGCAGCGCACATTCCCCCCCACGCCGGACCACCGCCACTCCCGACCCGCGAGGGCCGCCTCCGGGCCGCGGCCCTCCAGGTCCCTGCACGGCCCCCACCCCACCCCCGAGACCCGGGCCGCGGAGCCGGGCAGGGCGCCCCGGAGGCTGCGAGCGCGGCGCGGGAGGCCGGCGCGACCCCGGAAGGGGCAGCGTTCGGGGGAACTGGGGGTGGGGGGAGCGGCCGTGTTTACACCGCCAAGTTCCCCGCTTCCGCCCCGGCCCGCGCATCCCTCCCGCCCCTTGGCGGCCCGGTTCCTGCCTGTACCTGCATGCCGGGCAGGCCCGACTGCACCGGGGAGTGAGCCATGGCGGTCAGGACGGCCACTTCCTGGGACGGGACGGCCGGGCCGCGGCGATCCGCGCGGGCGACGAGGCCCGCGGGCCGCGCGCAGCCCTCCTCGGGCGGCAGGGGGTTGGGGGCCGGCCGGCCGGAGCCCGAGGCCACCCTAGCCCCCCGCGGGTCCTGAGCCAGGCGGCGGGCTCAGGGGCGGACGGCGGGCCTCGTCTCCATGCAACGCGCCGGGGAGGGGCTGAGAGTAGCGCGGGGCCTCCCTGCGAGCGGCCGCGGCTGCTGCTGCTGCCGCCGCTGCTGCTGCTGCTGGGCTGGAACCGGGCGGCCTGGGCCCGCGCGCTGGCGCCTGGAGCTGGAGTGGGGCGCGCACCGCCGGCCGAGCCCGCGAGCGCCGAGCGCGCCCCGCCCCGGCCCGGCCCCCGCGCCCGCCCCCGCGGCCCGGCCGGGGACCCCGCCCCGCGCTTCCGGGAGGGGGAGGAGGCTAGCGGCCGCCCGGCGCCCTAGGCCGCAGCCGCCCGTGCCGCCGCCGGCCGGGCAGGGTGTAGATCGGCGTGGCTCCCGCGGGCTGCGCCCCCAGCTCCCTGCCGGCCGGGCCGGGTGGAGGGGGACGCGCGGGCGGGTGCGGGGCTGGGGGCCTCAGTTGGGGGGGGCAGGGGTCCCCCCTGGTGGTGACAGGGGGCGCGGGGACCTTCGGAGTGAGGGATGGGCCACGCGCCCACCCCGCCCTGCAGGCCCGCGCCCCGGGGGATCCGGGTTTGCCCTCCAGGGAAGCCCACTCCTCTCGGCCTGGCGAAGGGCCCCAGGCCACCTCCCGGAGGGCAAAGCCTGGGGGCCCGGCGGGGGCCTCGGCCAGCGGCCGGTTCTAAACTACCGGGGCGGAGCTTCTTCGGCGTCCGGGTGAAGTTTCCGAACCAACCCGAGGAGGAAGCCCTCCGGAGGGGAGAGCCGAAAGCGGTCCGTTTCCCGTGGTTTGGCTGCTTGAAAGCACTTGGAATACTAGGAGCTGTGAACTTAGCCAAAAGAAAGTGAGGGGGCCGGACCCCATCGTCTCTGGGCCCCGGACCAAGGCGTGGGGGCGGGGGGCGTCCACCCACCAGAAGGGAGAAGGGGGCAGGGAGGGCCAAGGAGGAAGGGAAGACAATGGAAGGAAACGGTGTCTAGACTTTCCCCTGGCTCTCTCCCGCTCTTTCGGCTGCCTCCACCTTCTAGTCACCTCTCCTCCGACTCCAGAGGAAAGAAACAAGAAGGAATGAGTCAGCGCTGCCTCCAGAAAGTAGTAGTTTGTTTACAACGACCAACAGCGGCAGCCCCCTAAAGGGACCGCCTGCAGATGGGGTTGCTAGGACCCCGACGTCTACATTCGTGCCCGTGAATGACGCTGCAGCAAGGCTGGGCGAGGCTGGACCTCCAAAAACGAGCCCCAGAGAGTTCGCAGACCGTTGGAAGAAGTTAAGTCCTCCACCGAACTGAGGAGTGTTTCTTCTCAGAGGTGTCAACTGGATTCAAAGTTCCTTGCGGCGCTCTGGATCAAACAAGAAGTGAAGTGCTTAAAAACCTACTCCCCGCTTTCCTTTGGGAAATATGCTTTTTTTTTTTCCCTCAGCATCTTCTAGGATACTTTCAGATACCTCACGGTGGTCCCTGGTGTGCGACCTTTACTGAGCCCTGAAACCCTGCCACCCCCAAGTAGTGTGAAGAGAATAGAGCAAATACAAAGTTAAAAAAAGCATGAACACTGATGCTTAGGGGGCTCACCAGCTTGTGTAAATTTTGTGCACAAAAAAATGCGTACATAGAGATAGACGGCAGAGCAGACAAGAGTGTGAATTTTAAAAATGCTCAGCGTCTTTAACCCAGGCATTTTCCTAAGGAAACAACGGAGAAGTGCGGAAGAATGGATATAAAAAGATGCAATGCGGTGATATTTATGATCGTGGTAAAATTGGGAACATTAAAAGTCGGAGACTGACTTCAATGGTAATATATTCGTACAGTCGTTTAAAGTGATGTACTTCAATATTTACTAACACAGGAAAATATTTTCATGATATATTAAGGAAATGCAGGGTAGAAAGCAGTATGTATAGTCTGATCTCAAGTTACTTCATATATATGAATTTATATGTAAATATATAACCCTTCATATATATATGTGTGTGTGTGTATAATTTTGTGTGTAAATGTATAAATAGAGAAAAACCTGGAAGTATATGCCCCAAGATTTAGCAGTGGCTAGCCCTGTGAAAGTGCTACACTCAATATGCCAACAAATTTGGAAAACTCGGCAGTGACCACAGGACTGGGAAAGGTCAGGTTTCATTCCAATCCCAAAGGCAATCCCAAAGAATGCTCAAACTACCGCACAATTGCACTCATCTCACACACTAGTAAAGTAATGCTCAAAATTCTCCAAGCCAGGCTTCAGCAATAAGTGAACTGTGAACTCCCAGACGTTCAAGCTGGTTTTAGAAAAGGCAGGGGAACCAAATTGCCAACATCCGCTGGATCATCAAAAAAGCAAGAGAGTTCCAGAAAAACATCTATTTCTGCTTTATTGACTATGCCAAAGCCTTTGACTGTGTCGATCACAATAAACTGTGGAAAATTCTGAAAGAGATGGGAATATCAGACCACCTGACCTGCCTCTTGAGAAACCTGTATGCAGGTCAGGAAGCAACAGTTAGAACTGGACATGGAACAACAGACTGGTTCCAAATAGGAAAAGGAGTACGTCAAGGCTGTATATTGTCACCCTGCTTATTTAACTTCTACGCAGAGTACATCATGAGAAATGCTGGGCTGAAAGAAGCACAAGCTGGAATCAAGATTGCCGGGAGAAATATCAATAACCTCAGATATGCAGATGACACCACCCTTATGGCAGAAAGTGAAGAGGAACTAAAAAGTCACTTGATGAAAGTAAAGGAGGAGAGTGAAAAAGTTGGCTTAAAGCTCAACATTCAGAAAACTAAGATCATGGCATCTGGTCCCATCCCTTCATGGCAAATAGATGGGGAAACAGTGGAAACAGTGTCAGACTTTATTTTTTGGGGCTCCAAAATCACTGCAGATGGTGACTGCAGCCATGAAATTAAAAGATGCTTACTCCTTGGAAGGACAGTTATGACCAACTTACATAGCATATTAAAAAGCAGAGACATTACTTTGCCAACAAAGATCCATTTAGTCAAGGCTATGGTTTTTCCAGTGGTCATGTATGGATGTGAGAGTTGGATGGTGAAGAAAGCTGAGCACTGAAGAACTGATGCTTTTGAACTGTGGTGTTGGAGAAGACTCTTGAGAGTCCCTTGGACTGCAAGGAGATCCAACCAGTCCATCCTAAAGGAGATCAGTCCTGGGTGTTCATTGGAAGGACTGATGCTGAAGCGAAAACTCCAATACTTTGGCCATCTCATGCGAAGAGTGGTCTCATTGGAAAAGACCCTGATGCTGGGAGGGACTGGGGGCAGGAAGAGAAGGGGATGACAGAAGATGAGATGGCTGGATGGCATCACTGACTCAATGGACATGAGTTTGGGTAAACTCCGGGAGTTGGTGATGGATAGGGAGGCCTGGCATGCTGCAATTCATGGGGTCGCAAAGAGTTATACACGACTGAGCGACTGAACTGACTGAACTGAGCCCTGGAATTAAAGATGAATTTTTTTTAGTTAGTATTCAACCAATAGAGACCATCGTGCTCATAGGTTTCTCCCTTAGGGTCAGCCACCAGGCCAATAACATGTCAGCAAGATGAGGAGGAAATAGGATGAGTGAACAGGAATGTCCAGGCACTGATCTGAGGCAGTAGCATAGGAAATTCAAAGAACCCTTGGACCCACTTTGCAGTGGGCTAGTCTCCAACAAATGACCCAGGGGTGGTGGGGGGAGCATTGACCCATAGTAATCTAGGCATAAAAAGTATTCAGGGGACTTACCTGGTGGTCTAGAGGCTAAAACTCCAAGCTCCCAGCCAGGGGACCTGGGTTCGATCCCCGGTCAGGGAACTAGATCCCACATGCCGCAACTGAGAGTCTGCATGCTGCAAGTAAAAGTCCTATGTGCTGAGGCTTCCCCGGTGGCTCAGTGGTAAAGAATACACCTGCCAGTGCTGGAGACGTGGGTTCGGTCCCTGACCTGGGAAGATCTCACATGCCATGGAGCAACCAAGCCCCTGCACCACAGCTATTGAACCTGCGCTCTAGAGCCTGGGAGCTGCAATTACTGAAAGCCTGCGCTCCACAAGAGAAGCCACTGTGTGCAGCACAACTAGTCTCTCTTGCCTGGAAAAGTCCATGGACAGAGGAGCCTGGCGGGCTGCAGTCCATGGGGCTACATGACTGAGCGTGTGTACACGAGGGTGGAGGGAGATGGGTTGGTAGCAATAAAGTGGTAGAACTAAAAAAAAAAAAAAACTAGAGCAGTCGTTGCTTACTGCAACTGCAGAAAGCCCATGCACGGCAACAGACACCCAGCAGAGTCAAAAATAAAATCAACAATTAAATTATTTTTTAAAAAGATCCCACACACAATAGCTAAGACCTGGAACAACAAGACCCAGCACAGCCAAAAACAGAATTAATTATTTTTTTTAAAAAGAGCCCCCAGGCCATAACCAAGGCACAACCAAATAAATAATTTTTTAAGAAGTATTCAGAATCCCAGAGACTAGTGAGGCTAAACGCATGTCAGTTAAACAGGATAGGATGTATCTGGACACAGTGACTTGCATTCATTAGCTGGTCTGTTTCTCTATTCCCTGCTTATCTCCTCATCCCAACTAAACTTCATTTCCTCCTTTGACCATACACATACAACTGAGCAGCGTTCTCCTTGAAAGAGAAGAGAGAAACCAAAAAGGAGATACTGGTTTTGCTCAGCCATAGGCAGACATTCCCCAGTATGGCCGATAGTAACCACCTCCCTTTGTTTCAGCAAGAGCAGAGATGATTGACAGGGCTGAGCCAATGATGAGATCCTGCCTAATTGTTCACTGCATTCATTTCAATATTAAC